TGGCGAATGCTGTAAGGTGGTGTATATAACAGCTTGCTTACTCCAAATTAGTTATGTGCATTCCTTAGCCTGCTTGTAGCCCTCGATTTCAGTGGGTAGGGTCTCACTTTGAGCAAGACTAAACTCAGCGAGACCTTCAAGGCTATAATGATCCAGTCTTTCTGTCATTTTCTTCAGCTCCAACTGATAGCAAATAACACGCCTCCCCAACCCTATTACCTCTCTAACATTTTCTCCTCCTTTCCTCTCATTATTTCATTTGATCCACTTGATCTTGTTGCACCCTGAACATGCAGCCTTGGCCATGCTCTTCTCGTTGTCTGATGTTCTCTCTCCAAGAAAACATTCAAGCCTTGGCTGAAGTGTCGTGGCGCCAGTAAGAGCTTTCTAAGATACCTCGCTCGAATTGGACCCTCCCCTGCTTTGCTCTCAACATTTCTTACGTGCCTTCCTTCCGTGTCTTATTTTGCTGTAGAGACCTTATCACCACCATATGGTTTTCATCTGTTTCTTACTCTTGAATCTATGTACCATGAATATATGTCTATTTTGAGGACCTAGAAAGAGTTCCTGGAACACACTGGGCTCTTGAAGTGTATTTATGGGTTAAACTAATACCTTGCACAAGTAATGAAGAGATATTACAATGAAGAACATACTGCAAAAAGAAGGTTAATTCATGGGTTCCTGGAAGCTCAGATGGGAACTTATACTGGGTTAGTCAGCTTCCAGCACTATAACAGAATACTCGACATAGTCAATTTATAAAGAGAAAGCTATGTTTTGCCTCATAGTTTGGAGTCTTCAGTCTGTAATCAGGAAGGTCCATTGCTTTTGGTCATCTAGTGGGGATGCAGGGAGTGCATGGTGGAGCAATACTGCTTGTGTAGTGGCTCAGGGAGCAGAAAAACAGCAAAATGAAAGAAGGGTGAAAGGAAGGAAGGAAGGGGGGGGGAAGGAGAGAAAGGAGCTGGTATCCCATAGTCCTCTTTGTGGGTTTGGCCCAAAAGGTTCCACTATTTTCCAGTAGTGTCACCCTGAGGACAAAACCTTTAGCACAGGGTTTTGGGGACACCTTTTGAAATCATAACGCAGACCGAGTCTGATCTTTGTGCAAAGAAGAACTGAGGTAAGACAAAAATGGAAGCTCTTGTTTTTAGAAAGGACTTTATCAGATCCCAGATCCTAGGATTAGTGCCCCAAGAATTGCTAGGGTGATGCATAAGGTCTGGTGGAAACTTAGGCCTTTTTGGACTCTGAAGTTACTGCATCTCTGGTGTCTGTGGAAGCTTGAACTCAAGGGGAAAATTCGACCTGGTCTGGAAGGAACTGGTACTATGCCAAGGACAAAACAGTGTAATTACCTTCAAGAATGGTACATTTCAGGGCTGGCAAGATAGCTCAGCAGACTAAGTGCCTGCTTAGGCAAGTGTGCAGGGATCGAACCCCAGCACCACATGCGATGTCACCCCACCATGCGTATGCACTGAGCCAGCCACCAAGTCTGAGTGTGGTGGCGCATGCCTGTAATCCCAGTACTGGAGAGACTGAAAACAGGAGTCTGCATAGTGAGACCAAATACATAAAAAAAGGGTACATTTCAACCAAGATTAGAATACAATAACTTGATAGAAATTCATACTCCAAACCATGAGTTGTCCTTAGGAACTCTTAAAAATTACTGAAGGATACTTTGAGCAGTGGCTATAAAATAGCTCTTTTCGGTTGGTTCATGGGTCAGTGACAATGAGTAGCATAATGTTTTTCAGTCATACCTTATCTGTTTGTGGACAATCAGATTATACTTGTTATCCTTATACTTTTAAAGCTGCCCCACAGGGTGGGAGTTCTATAAGCAGTTTCCCATTTCTGTATCATGGTACACAGTGTTAAGATTTTTCAGGGAGGTCAGACATGACAAAAGACTTTGTCTTCAGATGGGGCTACAGCCTGAAGGGAGAGAGTCTATTCTTATCCTTACCTTCAAAGGCCTGACTTCAGCTCCTTCCCTTCCTGGAGTGAATCTGGGGTACTTAGGCCTCTGGAGTGTGACTTGGTTTCTGTGTCCAGAACAAATGTGGAGCAGGGATAGATGACCTTCAAGAAACCCTTGAGTGGTTAGGGTTAGGGTTAGGGTTAGGGTTAGTACTTAGGGTTAGGGTTAGGAAAAAAAAAAAAAAAAGAAACTCTTGAGTGAGAACAAAACACTGAATAACATGGCATGCTTCCCTATGGTTTAGGGACAAACTAATCATTGAGCAGGTATTTTTAAGGGTCTTTTCTATGCCTAGAAATGGTAATGGACTCATGAAAAGACCAAATTTTTCTTTTCAAGGATCTTGCATTCTAGTGAGATGGGACAAATAAATAGAATATTAAAAAGAACAACATGAAACTATTTCAGTGCTATGTGGAGAATTAACTCCTACACCTTTCCCACTGTGCCCTTTTTCTTTCCTAGGCCTACTACCTGGTTTCCGAATCTAAACCCATGTCTGCAACTGAAAATGTGGGCACCTGAACATTGTATTAATGTTGTTTTGTGACTCTTTTTCTTTTTCTGTTTTTACTTTGTTCTTTATATATTTAGATTAGGTATGTTTCCCAGGTCTGGTCTCTTTGCTTTGGATTACTGGACATTAATTGTTCATAGTAGACTATAAGATGAGATGGAGGGCCGGCCAAATAGCTCAGTGGATTAAAGCACCTGCAAGCAGGCACAGGGGCTGGGAGTTTGATCCCTGAGCCTGCTGTGCCGGCCCTGCCCCCAGGGCTCCCTGAGAAGGCAATTGAGACTGGTTGTGGTGGCAGCACCTGTAATCCCAGCTCTTGGGAGGCTGTAAACAGGCGGAACACTATGAGTCCAATCTAGTAGTGAGACTCTGAACACCCTGTAGACCCTTCCCTAAAGAGAGAGAGAGAGAGAGAGAGAGAGAGAGAGAGAGAGGGAAAAGGCGTAAATATTGATAGATAGAAGTGGGAATTTGAGTTACTGTACTTGCTTTACCACTTAACAGCTCTGTGTCCTTATGTACACAGTCACTACTCTCTAGAAAGTTGCTACTTTATTGACTTTTTTGGTGATGGTTAAATGACATAAGGTGTATGTGCTGAGGCAGAGGACTTGGGAACTGGAAGAGTCTTCTATCCATTCCAAGAGAATGCCCTCTTCTCTGAATTCCTTCTTCTGGAGGACTAGGAAGTTGCCTTCATCAAATTCCAGGGCATTATTGGGCCATGATGACTAGTAGGTGTAGGTCAGCATCTTAAAAAAGCATCCTTCCCAGCCCTGGCTCCTTCACTGTTCTTGCCTCCTCCTCCTTATCCAGCAGTTGGCTAGTCCAGAGCTTTTTCCATGTATGGGGAAAGCCTATAATATTTTCATTCCTCTTGTGTTCTTTTCTTGTATTCAGCTCTCGCCCATAACAGGCCATGTGTACTTGCCACATCACGCTGCCCGCACCTGAGACCTGAAGCAATGGAGTGACTTTATCTTGGATGGAAGCCTCTAGAACCAAGACCTTAAATAACGTTTTTCTCTTTATAAGTTTGCTTCAAATATTTCATTACTATAACATGAAGCTGACTAGTACACATTGCATGGAAGGAAACAAAAAACAAAAAAAAGAACAATTATATAACATAGAGAGGAGCAAATGAGAGCCTCACCTACTCACTAAAGCTGTGCAAATATCCACACTTCTGATCTTTGAGAGGCTACACTCCCTGCACCCATGAACCTCAGAGTCTTTGTATGACCAATGCATGATGAGAGAAGACTCTGCAAGCCTGACCAGTCTGTGTTGTGTGCCACACAAGGGTCACAGAGTACTCCAGCCACTACCTGAAGGGGATGGGGCTCTGGTTCCTGCTAAACATGGTCAGGTACATACAATATTCATCTCTGACCTAACCCCCTAGTCTAACCATGTGCTGTTGTCAGACTTTAGTCACCATTAGTAGGTACATTTACAGTCTTTGCAGAACCTTAAATTCATCCAGATTCTGTTACAAAAAGATACTTGGATTAGATGAACCCTAATTACTACAAATTCAAGATGTTGGTATTCAGATATTACAAAAACAAGGTAAAACAAGCATATTTTAGGAAGTAATTAACTATTTCTGTTGGAGTACTTATTAGTGATCACTCAACATTTTTCAATAATTTATTCAGTAATTGTATATTGATCACATTATGAGTGGTGTGCAGCTAGCTAAGAATTCAAGACAACTGAGGCTCGCGGACTATTGTAAATAACAAAGGAATGTGACGTGGTATCACCACTACACAATATGTGCACGACAGAGTGATGGCACAACACAGGGAGTACACAGCTCCATCCAGATGGACTAGGGAAATTTGCACAGTTGTGGCATGGTTAAATTTAGTTTGGTAAGAAAATGAGGAGTCGCGTAGATAGAGTGCATGGCAACTAATATTTGTGAGGAGGGGCGTAAATGTGAAGTGAAACAGTGAGGGAAATACCAAATCAGGTAGGAACAACTGTTCTGACACAAATGCAAATGATTCCACAAAAAACCCAACAAAAACAGAGCAGGAACTAATTCAGTCAGTTGAATACTATGCTAAAGGGATTTTATCTTGTAAAAGATTTCAGTTGTAGAATTATGCTCTGCTATTTGGGCAAGGCTATATGGGAAGCTCTCATATAATATAGATTTATCTACCCCAAACCAAAAGCAATTGTACTTCTAAAATAATTACCTGGAAGTTTCATAAAGTTTAAGCATTATTACTGGATGTACTATGTGTCTACTTTGACTGATGACATGATCTATCTTGCAATCTGGGTTACTTTTGTGATTGAGAAACAATCAAAGGAACAAGCCAGGACTGGTCCATCCAAACCAGGGCATGTAACCAAGCAACTAGACCCACATGGCTGACAGCCAGCTGGATAAACCATAGTTGCTGCTGTCTAGGGTTCAGAGGCGTAGGCATGGTAGGATGGAACGCTCTGTGATTGTGATTGTTTTGTTCAGGAATGTAGGTAGGTGTGAAATTGCGCTTCCTGCCTGTGCATGTGAGATAAAGTCGGAGCTGGACATGCTGGTGGCACTCAGAACCCCAGCTCAATTTGCAAGACTGTGGGACAAAGACCAGTGAACAAAGAAGGCCTCCTACCTCTGTCCCTTGGAAAATCGGTAAACATGAAGCTGTTTCTGGTTCTCATTGTTCTGCTGGCTCATGTACTCACAGGTAACTGTCCAAATGTACCATAAAGACGTCGGAGATAACACTGCTCACGTGAGTGGGGAAAGGAGCTTTGAGACTGTTGACTGACCAGTATCCTCAAAGTGCCTGTTTTGGAGGAGAGTGGCCAGGGATGTCAGAGGCGAGGTGTGTTCTCCAGTCCTCCCTAAAGGTGGCAATGAGCCTGTTACCTAGAATTATCTTTTGGATGCCAAACAGAGTTTTCACCCCAAAACCTGGCCACCCCCTTTCACTCAAGTTCATCATCAATGTGTGGTACAACAGTAATAGGTATCATACACAGTTTGAAGTTATGTCTGTGTCAGGTTAAAATATGTCTTCAGCAGCAGCAGTGACTTATTCCCTTTGAGTTTCCATTTTCACTTCTCCCAGTGTAATGCCTCTATTTAAAGTGAGGATTAGAAAGCTGAGAAATGTGAAACACCAAGTTCATACTGGGAGCCCTGCTAGTGAAAGATGGTTTTTCCTGTCACACTTCACATATTGTGACATCTAGAAAAGGGAGAATGCATGTCTTTCTCCATCTTTGATCTGTATTTTTTTAGAGGTGAAAATTAGAATTGGGAATAAGAGTTTTGGAACTCAAGTGGATTACTGCAAATAGGTGACAGTTTGGATCTCAAGGGGGATGGGGTCCAAGAAGAACTGAGTCTGGTGGCCGATGAAACAGTTGTCTGTGATTAAGAGGCATGTGATAGGTAAGTGAGAGAAGCCAAGAGCTGGACAAGTCCTGCAGGCAGGACAGTTGTAACAGCACTGATTGCTAAGACCAAAGAGAGCTTGGCAAGGAAATACCTGATGTTCATGTCAGTGAGTGTGAAGCCTAATTATGTGGTTATTTAAAAAGTCTGTGTGCGAATTTTGAAAAAGGTGATTTGGCTGAATTATGCTGAGGGTGACGAGTTAGTGCTTGCTGGTGACACAGAACTGAGGCTATGCTGACTTTGGAGCACAGAGCAAAGATTTCCAAGGCCCTTGGGTGTTACACAGCCCCATAATCAGGAAGTGAGCTCTCTTTTTTGTCACATATGTCCTGTTGTTCCCAGCGCCAACTGGGCATTAGCCTGGAGCCTGGAGCGTCGAATGTCCTTCACTTGGGATGAGTTTCAAGGAGCCCTGAGTTTTCTCCCATCAGCCTAAGATTCACTTTGGGACTGCAGGAGGCCATAACTTGCTGGGAACCACAACCCTGTTTTGTTTCTCCTTGGAAATTAACCTTGTTCTCATGGTTTTCCTATACACAGCTGGCGCAAAACCCCCAAGATGCTTTAATAATGTGGCAGGTTACTGCAGGAAGAAATGCAAAATAGGGGAAATATCTGAAGTGGGATGTCTACATGGAAAACTATGCTGTGTCAATGAAGAGGAAAACAAAAAGTACCACAAACTCCAACAGCCACCTCCACGGCCTGAGCAGAAGCCTGAAGCGGTGTCTGACTATGTTGTTTACCCAACTGTCACACTTGTTTCAATCCTGTGAATCAAGCACTTGTTTCCTTGCTCTCTGCTCATTCTCAATCAGAAGTGGATTAAGCCCCGGAGGCAGCAGTCAGAGACAGACCCGCTTCCTCGTGTGAGCTCGATTCCTCACATAATAAAGCCCTGTGCCTCTGCCTACATTTCTTTGTTGTCATATTAATTTTTTTGAGTACTTCCATCATGAATGAATAACTGCCATGTTCAAGGTGCTACACTAGTGAGATGGGATAGCAGGATTGAGTGAACACGAACGTCGCCTTTCCATGTGCTGATGAAAGAATATATCTCACAGAATCTCAAGTATTTCTTTTTTTGGAAAAATTAAAATACGTTATGCCTAACAATTCTCTCTCTCTCTCTCTCTCTCTCTCTCTCTCTCTCTCTCTCTCTCTCCCTCCCTCCCCCCAATAAAAAGGGTTTCATTAACAACCAAGAATTAATTAAAGGGAGGAAGATATCTGAATGTTCTAGCAACACTTATTGGGGCAGCTCTGATGGGTGGTGAAGACAGCGAGTAATAATTCCAATACAGCATTTAAAACTCATTTAGTGCATCTGGCCCCAATCTGCTTTCAGCAGTGATTCAAACATTTAGTTGATACACTCCTTAGACAAATGCTACTGTTAGGATGTTTAAGAATGTGGTACATTCTGTGTTTATTCACTAGTGTGGATTTTAACGCCTCACGAATGAAGGGACACATTGAAGAAGTGCTTCGTGAGCTAGACAGAGTCGTAGTGGGTCACAGTGGCAGGAAATGCTCTCTAAATGAGCCAAACAGAAACTTCAGTAGTCGCTGTTGGGTTTAAAACACTGGCTGTAAATAATTTCTGCACTAACATTTACTCACAGGATAAGGAAGCCAGAACCTTTGCTCCTCCACGAGGAGCTCATCATCTTATTTTACTGAGAGGAGGATAGAGAGGCAAGTATTTAGATGGAGATGGTGCAGTTTCAAAGGCACACAGGCTTTCCTTTCAGCAGCTATGACTTGAGAATTCTGGAGATGAACATAGGAAGCCATGCTAGGCTGCACTGCAGGCTTTAGGGAATTTTTGTTGGGATTTGGGCACTAGAGAGACTAACGTATGAATATTTTCAACTGAATCCTGAACATTTTGGCAATAGTGCTTACACGAGAAAATCTTCCATAGTAACAAATTCTGTTTTTTTCCTGAGCTCCACCACAGTGTCCTCAGGGATATTTTGGGGGTGTCCATTTTCTCATTCTGACACAAGGTAGGTTTAGTCCACTGTTTTTAAAGTATGTGCTCTACATTAGTCCTCGGACAAGTTAGACACACATTCCATTTTGGTTGAGTTAGTGTCAGGGAAGTACCTGGAACAAAACAGATAATTAAGCCTTGAATTCTACCTTGACTAGGTGGATGTAGTTTCCCTAGTGTCCCTGGAGCAAAGAGGTCCTGAGAACAAAGAGGCCAGAGGCGAACCACGTGATCGGCTGCTGCGAGGTGGAGAGCGCCAGGGCAGCGCAATCCAAGCCTGGTTTCTAGGCAAAGGGTGCCGCGTGACATCCACCTGCCATCCACCGGCCACAGGTTTAAATGCCGTGGTTGAGCATGAGCAGTTCCTGTCCTCCCACCTCTCTGGCTTTCTTTCTTTCTTTTTTGGTGGAACCGGGGATTGAACTCAGGCCCTCGCACTTGGCAAGGAAGTGCTTATTCCACTGAGCCATCTCCCTGGCCCTATAGTCTAGCTTTCTGTATCTTGTCATTTCTTCACCTTCTTGCTGTCCTTCATGGTCCTCATCACTCTGGGAAGTTTGAGAATCACGCAGGCCGAGGCAGGGCAGTATTGTTAGGTCTCCTTTTCTGCCTTATTTTTACACACAAAATTAAATACAAATTCTATATTGTCATTATTTATCCTTTTGGTACAGACAACGCTATTGGTATGTGATATTTTGATCTGTCTTGGAGTATTCTCCAAAATTACTTAAAATTATTTCATTTTATTTCTGTAAAGGAGTAATTTTATATCTTTTTAAAAAAATATTATGATGTGCTAATTTAAATTTTTTCTTTATTTTTGATTACTGTGTAATAAATGTATTTATGGGTTATAGCATTATATGTCAGTACATGAATACAAGAATGCCCTGGTTAATTGAGGGTAATTAATATTTTCATTCTATTATTTTGTCATGTTTGGAATATTCAAGTTCCTCTTTTCTAGTTCTTCATAAAATATATGGTAGATTACACGAATCTTATTCTCCCCCTTTGTGCTACAGAGCCCTTAGAACTCACTCTGACTTTTGATGTCTAGTCCCCATCCTCCCACTGCTAGCTCCCTACACCTGTCTGTAGAAATCACAATTATACCTTCACACTGGCTGTTTTTTATTTCAAAGAGGAAAAAAAGACTAAAAAATGATACAAAATCTCAAAACAAGATAACAATGGATAAAGGCGTAAAATGATCAAGGGATATAAACACAAACCTTTCCTTTCAATGAACCTGTAGAAATGAGTAGTATAGCTATCTATCTATCTATCTATCTATCTATCTATCTATCTATCTATCGTTTTACTTTTCCTTTTCTTTTTTCTTCTTTCCTCCATCTCAGTTTCTTTTCTGTTTTGAGCAGTTTCTTTCCATTTTCCAGTATGTATTGTACATTTTGGATCTTATTTACTCTTTAAAAGGAAGAAGAAACTGAAAAATATACTTGGTACAGGATCTCACTACACAGCATGGACTCATAGTGATCCTTCTGTTTTCAGCCTCCCCAGCACTGGGATTACAGACATGTGCCACCACTCTCAGCCTCTTCCAGCTTCTTATGCTAGGAAGACGCTATGATGTTTGCATTTGTGAGACTGATTTATTTCATTTGTGAATATGAAGATATGAATCTCAAGTTGCATCATAAAAGTCTCAAATTTATCCTTTATAGCTGAGTAGTAGTCTATTGTATAAAAATACTATTAGCTATTACAAACTACCCTGCTATAAACATAGATATACATGTATCGCTATGCTATGATATTTTAAATTCTTCTGGAAAAATATCCAGAAGAACAATATCTGGGTTGAATGGGATCTCTAATTCTAACTTTTTAAAGATCTGCTTTAGGTCCAGGCCATTCTCGGAGACCACAAACTCTAGACAGGTCCCAGCTCCAGTCCAGATCCAGAAGCTGCAGAGTAGGGATTGTCATCTACCCTGTGTTGTGCCCCTAGCCAGCAGCAGTAGGCCACCCCAGCACCAGGCCAGTTACCGCAGGGAATAAAATAAAGATATGCAACCAATATCAGAAATTACACAGGAAATATCACTATCTACCTTATAGCCACTAAAACATTAGAAAGACGATATCACACAGTATTTTAAGCCAATAAATGTGAGAATCTTTAAAATGGGAAAAATATATAAGCAAGTTGTTGGCTAAAAGAGGTAGAAAATGAAATTACCCTTTAATGTGTAAAAAAACCAAACAAACTACAATAGTTAATATTTTCTACAAGGAGTTCAGTCTCAGTTAACTTAACTGTTGAATGCTACCCAAAATTTAAGGGAGAAATAGCAAACCTAGGCCTCTATGGGCTGGCACTGTGCTCTTAACAACCCTGCTCCACACATCACTATTCATTGAACTATATACTTGCTGTGGCTTCACTAGTTTTTTCTTAAAGTCCTTTTCCTGTTCCAAAAGCCCATGTTGCTTTCCATGTTACCTTTAGTTGTCCTGTCGCCTTCATCTCCTCTGATCTGTAACAATTTTGCAGAATTTTCTTGTTTTTGATGAACTGGACAATGTCGAGGAGTACTGGTCAGATATTTTTCAGAATATCACTTTTAGTTACTTTGATGTTTTCTCATTGTTTGTCCAGGGTTATAGATTTTGGGGTGGAAGATGGCATAGTGAGACACTATTCTTATCACATTATACCGGAAGCTCATGGTATCAATAGGAATTTCTCCATAAACTTGGAAACATGATTTTATCAGGCTTATGTGGTTATCTTTCTCTTTTTTTTCTACACTGTTCTCTTTGGAAGTCGGTGAAGGGGGAGAGAGAGCCTGAGAGTAATCTCTGTCTCCTCAAGAAGGGAATATTTATAATAAATTAGTTGCAATTACTCTATATGGTATATCTGTCCTTTCTCAGAAAATTATTAATTTATTTGGGCTGGTGAGATGGCTCAGTGGTCTAAAGCACCTACTTAGAACAAGCTTAGCAAAGCACAGGGACCGCGGTTCAATCCCCCAGCACCACATGCCAGCCAGCCCGGCCCCCTGGTGGGCTGAGCTGGCCACACACACACACACACACACACACACACACACATAAATAAAATTAAAAAAATTATTAATTTATTCAATTATTCATAGCAACAAGGTTTCATAGCTATTTACTTATACATTATATTCCAATGCTATGTAATTTATTTTATTGCTCAAATTGTCCCAGCTTTGGTCATTCAAATCTCTTTCAGATTGATTCCTGACTTTAATTTCATGCTCCATTCTTCCAATTTTTAAATACTTTCTTAATTTTTGCCACTATAAGATCTTTTAGCCTTATCTTTCGCATTCCCTGGCTCAGCTCCAGAATAGGAGATAAGAAGGTTTAAAAAAAAGAGCACATGCCACAAATTAGTGGATGAATGAAATCTTAAAAAATGCCTACAATTGCTATGATGACGTGGTATAAGAAACGAATTGGCAAATGAATGTGAAATGTAGTAAGAGAAGAAACTTTCATGTTAATCATATTTAAAAGGTGTATCTTTAAGAATAAAGTGCAGTGTATACCTGGATCATCTTTGTGTTGTCTTGGATATCAGAACAATAAAATCTCATATAATAATGCACTTCAGCCTAATTTCTATTCTTTACATTTCACCCTAACTCCAAAGAGTCCTGATACCACAGAACAATAGAAATGATGACAAGGAAGCTTTTCTCTGCCTGCCTCTGCTCCACACAGTGAGCTCTGAGACAGCAGAATCTCCCTCATTTGTCTTCCCAGTTCACTGCTGCTATTTGTTTGTTTGCGTTTAGGGAACTAGCTCTAATCAGCTTTTTGGTAGGTTCTGAGTTGTCTTTATCAGTTCATTACCTGGCACACAGTAAATGTTTATTTTCTGGGTAAAGAAAAGAGTCAGGAGCTTGGCAATGAATCTTACTTATTATTATTTATTTATTATTTATTAGAATCTGCTTGAAAGTCATTCTGGTGATCAAGCAAGCAGAAGGTAGAAGATGAGGCTCTCACCACCTTGGTGTATGGGAACGAGAAATAAATGAAGGAAAACTTGTAATTGATCTATGTGTGATATTCCTGGGGGTTGAGAACGTTTCCGCTGCTTCTCCGTCTTGAGGAAGAGTTAATGCGAATGGTGGTGGCTTTGGACGAGGTGGCTTTGTAATTTTTTTGCGTTCTTCCAGTTTCTTGATGTTGAGGCAGCAGTATCTCCCATTTGCACACAGCACCTCACGCATTTCAGTGACCTTGCAGATTTTCCTGCAGTATCCCTGTACATAGTTTCCCCAGCATTTCTTAAGTTGTTCCGTTACTGTGCACATGAAAGAACAATAGGCTAAGGTCAGTGTTTGAGACAGAGGATGACTTGGTTACGGGGAATGGATAAGAGATTGATAGAGGGGAGGAACGGAGGTATTCTAGTCTCATCTGAAAGCAGATTCTCTAAAAAAGGACCTCAGCAAATCTCCCTCCCCTGAATGCTCCTAGGCTACTGAGTCCTTACTGCTGCCCCATCTCTGACACCCAGAGGAATTGTCACTGTGCATTTGTACCGAGTCAAATTCTGCTCCTGTGTTCACATCCACTACTGTGGTCAAGAATCACTTGCTTGTTAGTCAGGTTTTTTTTCTCCTTCCAAGATCTTCCTCCCCTATTTATTCTCAGTATCACACACTTGTGCCAGGGCATGTCTTCCTTTTGTTTCTATGTCATCACAATACTCTGGTCACCTTTCTAATGCCTGAACTTGCTTTATCTCTCTTTGACTTCCCACCCCCCACCTCCACCTCCTGAGGGGGGAATCACTGTGGTGTGCAGACTCCTGTTCATCTTTCTCTCTCTCTATATATTTTTTTCCTTTAGTGACTTTAATAATTTTAGTGAGATAAGAACTGGGATATTCCAATTTTGGCTTCTGTAAACAAGGATGTTGCCTTCAGTCCTAAATTCCAGAACTCCTCTGAATCTTAGAAACTTAGGGGCAAGCTAGATCATTAATATTCCTATAATAAGAGAGAAAGAAGAGATCTAGTTTTAAGAGAGAAAAGGACACGTAAGCTTTAAATTATAGTATGTACTAAACACCATGCTAGGTGGCTTTACATCGGTTGTATCACTTAATAAAACCTCTGTGGGCCTGCTGTTATCATCTCCACAGATGAAGGAACTGAGGCTCATGGAATCTCCACTGTTTCCTCCTCAAAGTTGACAAATGTGATAGTGAAGTCATATTTCTTAAATCTGACCCCGAAGTTGGAGCTCTTCCTATTATTTACACACTATGGCTTAATAGGATAAAATGTAAGTTTGAGTGGAAAAAATGGGTGAGGGTCAGAGTAACAACTATGCAAAGAAATAAAGATATCTTGAGCTGTTTGGCTCATTCTTTTCAATAATAATGCCTTTTGGAGGAAATGATGACCTCTTTTCAGATCTGTGACTACCTTTTCTTTTTTGTATTTAGTACAGGGTCTACAGGGTCTCACTAAACAGATCGGATTTGTAGTGATTCTCCTGTTTTCAGCCTCCCAAGTTCTGGGATTATAGGCACACGCCACCATACCCAGTCTGTGACTACTTAATTTTAAGGACAATACCATGGGCTGAGAAATAGGTCATTTCTCTCTGTGGGTAGACTTTGGTCTTCTCTGGGAACCCTATTTCCCCATACTGTGAAGTAGCATATGCCCCTGGGCTCTTGGAAAGACTCCAACCCATTGTTGATGTGGGTGAGGGCCTGGAAGGCTCTGGGTTACCTGTGGGCTTCTGGATCAGCAGAATTGCAATGATCAAGAAGAGATTCATGATCAGGCTTCTCAGATGTGGAGGAAATAAAAGCTTCTGGTCCTGAGAGTTGAAGACTATATCAGCTTCTTCAGTCTTGGATTCTTATGCACTGAACCAGAACAGATGATGTGATAGAATGAGCGCCCCCAGACTTGGGACCTGTGGGGCTGGGCAGCATGGAGGCGGGCACAGGAAATTGAAGGTCACCCTCTTCACCCACACACAGAATTCAGAGACACGGCGTGTTCCACCCGTTACTCCTGGCACCATCTGTAGGCTGTCAAATGCTGGCGGGAGGGTCTATGCCTTCCCTATTTTGGCCATCGGGCCCAGCTGCACTAAGACAGACATCTACTCACCTCTCAGAAATAGGACAATAAAATGGAGACACAAATCTAAAACTCCAACAAGAAGAATTTCTAGAGGTCTACTCATAATAGTTTTCTTTCATGTTTGAGAAGTAATGATAGCAATTAACCACTAAGAAGAATATATGCAGTGTATTATTTGTTGAAAAAGAAAAAAAAAAAAAAGAAAAAAAAAGAGAAGTAATGATGAAAGAGGATCTGATCTGAGGTCATCTGCTTAGAAGTTTGAATGTTTAAAATTCTTCAACATGAAGCATGGCTGGTGTGTGTGTAAAGTGCATGACACTGAAATCTCATTCAGTGACCTTTATGTTACAGGAGAGAGAGAGAGAGAGAGAGAGAGAGAGAGAGAGAGAGAGAGAGAGAGAGAATAAGCAGGACTTTTTCCCTATTTGTGCACGATGTTTTGGGAAATTTTTTTCTTCTTCTTTTGTGTTTGAGACAGGAGTTTACCCTGCAGTCCAGCCTGGCCTTCAACTTACTTTGTAGCCCCGGATGGCCTCAAACTCATAACAATTCTCCTGCCTCAGCTTCCCAAGTGGGATGGAACTTCTTAATATAGTTATTCTATCCTCTTTACTAAGTATTAACTACTGGATGATATCAAGCCAGGTGTCTCAGAAGTACTAAAATATGCCACAAGGTGGGAGATATTTCTCACGTATTCCAAAATCTCCATACCTGGGTATCATTGGATACATATTCAACACCAAAGCAAACACTAACCTAGATCATATATGTCAACTAGAATGGAGGAGGGTAAAATATTGCAGAGGATTAAAGACAGCATCCCTGAATAACAGAAAGAATAATCTCAGGATGTTCCTTTGTCAATCGTAGAAAGTAAATCTAATTCCAAAACATTTCACATAGAGGAAAGATCTGCAGAGTTTTCCCAAATTCAAATGAAACTCCGTAAACTAAACATACTTGCATATTGAACTTATTGTAAGGTGTTTAGTCTATTTCTAAAGAAAACTTCACAGTTGTTCTCACAAAGGACCTGATACTAATCCTTGTTTATTTTAAGCTGAGAAACACACATTCAAGATTCTGTTATATACTATGAACCAGGCAAGATTCTAGTAATAAAATGGTGGGTAAGGTATCAAGAGCATTTCTTTTGATCTTCAGAGCAGATGAAACGTAGCAGTAAGCCTGTATTTGTGGGACTCATAGGCCCTAGTGTGCCCATCAGCACCCTGGATAGACAGTGAAGTTGTCTTTTGGCTATTCAATGACAGTGCTAACTAGATGATAACTACCCGGTGCCTGGGGCATTCATTCAGTCCTTATGACCCAGCAAATACTCTAACTCAGAACTCAATACAGGGCACTCTTTTCCAACATCCAGTGTTCATAGGTTCAGCAACCACAGGGCAACACCTCAGGCCTCTAAAAAGGTCTTGTGCTAGATTTGATAAGGATTTGGAGACAGCAGCTGCTTTTCCATGCATAGAATTATTGCTTTCATTCTGTCAGGGATTTTGTTCAGTAAGTGCCTAAATCCAGTGCTCCCATGTCATGAGATTCTCAAGACCAAGGGCCAGCTTCAATGAATGTGCAAAGCCTCTGAAGAATATGCCTCAGAAGTCGTGCACAGTTGTAAGTCAGGTTACACATTCATGTTGTAATTATGGGATCTGGATATGAGAACAGAATGTAAGATAGGTAACTACCACTTTAGAAAAACAGTTCTGCAGAGCACAGCGGTCAGGGTTTGATTCCTGGTGTGCCGTGCCAGCCACACTCCCGAGGCACACTGAGATGGTAATTGAGACTGGGTGTGGTGGTGCATGCCTGTAATCCCAGCACTTGGGAGGCTGAAAACAGGAGGATCACTATGAGTCTGATCTGTGTAGTGAGTCTCTGTAGACCCTGTATTAAATACATAAAAATAAATAAAAACCAATTCTGTTAACATTGCTATAATAGTTCAGTATATGGTTTTCCCAGTAGTTTTTTTCTTATGTTGTCCTTGCACATTTTTAAAAGCCCTTTACTTTAACATTACTTTCTTGCAGCATTATCTTTTATAAACATTAATGAGGGCTGCTGCTTTTAAAAAATGCTAAAGGAAATAATAGCAGGAGAAATCCTGTGCAGCTTTAAACTGTTCATTAAGCTCACTGGAGGCTAAATGAATAGAGCCACCTCCTTTCTTTCTTTCTTTCTTTCTTTCTTTCTTTCTTTCTTTCTTTCTTTCTTTCTTTCTTTCTCTCCTTCCTTCCTTCCTTCCTTCCTTCCTTC